AAGTTGTGTTTTTGTTGCCATTGTAGTTGTGGTTGTCGTTTGTTGTTGTGACATGGTTTTGATCAACACAAACAAACAAATGAGCATTAGGAGAAGTGGAAAAGACAATTAAAACGTTTTCGGTGTTGTAGCTGCACCGTTTTGCCGGGTCGTATACCTGGAATCCAGTTTCGTAAATTGTTTACTACGACCACCATGTATAAAAATAATTGTACACCTTTAATTCTGTCAATGAATCATATAGCGCTCATTGCAACCCATTAAATTTGTGCCTTGCCTTGTGCCTCCCTCATAAAAATACATCTTTTTTTTCATTCATTCCTTGCTTCTTTTCTTTATTCATTTATTCATCTGTCCATTCATTCATTTATTCCAATAGTTGCTAACAGTGTTCGGGAAAAAAAAAAAGTTGCTATGGAAAATTACAGTATTTTAGCAACACAAATTTTCAATTTAATTATTTTAAATGAGCACTAAACAGGCAGTCTTACCACCACAACAGCAGCAGCAAAGAAAACAGCAACAACTTCATCGACGACGAGTTTGCTAATTTGATAAGATAATATTTGTTCAACGAAAATTATTTGTAGACGTTAACAACAGTCATATCACTAATAGTTCTGAGAGTATCAAACAGCCAGGTAGTAGTGATATATATACATGGAATGTTGTTCATGGCAAGCGATAAAGAGGAGAATGAAGAATTGGAGAGGGGTAAGGATGAGGATAAGGAAAAGGGAAAGAAGGCAGAGTCAACGCAAGTGCTGGGCAGACATCACTGTGATGAGCTTTGGAATGGCAGTAGATTTCAGTACACTTAAATGACTGAACGCCGAACAATGCTTTCATTGTTTCTTTTTTCACAAAATTCATTCTCTGTTCCTCTTCCTTTTTTCGTCTTCTAATTCCTTGTAATTAATGCTTTGCCTGTTTTTCTTGTGTCTACTTTCCCTTGTGCAGGCAGGAAGAGCTAGACCGAACGCATTAACAAAAGGTGTTAAAAATAGGCGAAGCGAAAAAAAGAAGGGAAAAACAAAAAAAAAGAGAGAAAACAAGCGATTTTACCCACTGGGATACGACTCACGAACCGGTTATCTAACATAAGCAACGCCGAGTGACGTGTTTTAGTCCTTCTCAAAGTGAATCAGGAAAAGAAAAGATTTTCGGCTTTATCTCCCTCGGTTATTTGGCGTTGACAAAATTTAGGTGACGGTTTCAGTTCAGAGCAGATTAACCGCTGAACACACTCATCCGTGTTCACTACAATACCTACCGTTTTATATCAATAGATTGTTGACGATGATTGTCAGAATTGTTTTTGACTCGTATATTCAAGATGATCGGATTTCTGTAACGAAACGCTGACGTAAAGTGCTAATAACTAACTGCTCATCGATTTTGCAACCTGTTTACCTCAATGGTTGCCATTCATTGCTGAGGAGCTTCATTTTGTTGCCTTATCTCTCAGTTATCAACTGCATTTCCTTGACAACTGCTATTTTTTTTCAGTCTTTTTTTTTGTTACTTCATACTTTTTACGCTTCGGAAATGTTCCAAATTGTTATTTAAGCATTTGTTAGGGAAGCAAAAAAAAATTCTTCCATTTTTCATTTGCAGTCTGTTATTGGCTTACTCATCATTTGTAGTACAATAGTTACCTTCAACATTTCTACAAATACATGTATCGTCTTTCATGATATATTTCATAATTACAGTTACGTAAACGGTAAAAAAAAAAAAACTAAAAAATTTTCTGATGCCAGGTGATCGGAAAAGATTCAAGGTGTAAAAAAATAGATCTTTTGAAAGACGTTTAAGTATGAAAAAGAGGAAAGGAATTTTTTTCAATTGTTTAAAGTTGAAGATTTTTGAAAATTGGCCTCAGATCGAGTTTGTTGTATCAGGATGGTTACAGTGGTCCCACTGTTGTTGCCAACAACCAGCAATACGTCGATGTGTATCGGAGTGCAACTTTTGTGTTGTTCAGTCTAGGCTCCTCAAGTAGTGCGGTAAGGATTGAAGTTGTATTGGAAGGGGAACTTTGGTGAGGAACAGATGAGTCTCCAAAAATCGTCCATCTGTTAGTTTCACTGATTACTTCCGCGTTAATGATATGTTGGCTTAAACAGATCTTATTATTTGCCTAAAATAGGCACTACATGGATATTTCCATGTCCTACTTCATTTAAATGAGTTTGCTATTTTTTTTAATGAATGTTTTTTTTTTCTTTTAATACCTATATAATTACGCTGAAATCTGATACATAAACTACCGGTACAGTAATATGCATTCGTATTTTGTTGTTATCAGGTGATACACTGGTACTGTTTTGATATCAAGATGCAACTATGGTACATGTTGTTTAGGATGTTTAAATCATCTTGTTTTTATTAGAGCTCAAAAGGAATCTTAAAAATAAAGAGAGAGAGAGAGAGAGAAAAGAAAAGGAAAGATGAAAAAGGGAAAGAATTTTTTTATTTTTTAAAATGCTGCTACTGCCGGTGTAAATGGTACAATAAGAAGAAGAAAGGAAATAAATTTTGGTCAGCACAGAAACACACACTCACTCGCAAATACTCATCAAAAAATTGTTTCTTTTTTTTTTTTCCGTTCAGTCTGACAATAATTTGATGTATATTCTAATGTATAGGAACGCCAGAATTACACAAATAAATCAGTTTTTTGTTCTTCTTTTTTTTGATTTTTTTTTTTTTTT